AGAGTGTAGGTGTGCTATTGTTAGCAGGCAGTAACTCAGTTTCTCTGCTGGGACAATAATCCAAGGTTCTCAATGCTTTACAAACATTACTGTGCCTCTTGAGTATTGTAGTACATTTATTGCAAAAGATTACAGTTGTGTTTGCATTTGTACGTTTTATAAAACTTTTGTGCGCTAAGCAAATATCTTATCTGGAAAATAAAGATACATAACACATCAGTGTTTAGAATCAATTAATTGTTACAATATATAAACAACTGCTGTCGCTTTTGCCATTGTATCAAAACTACTCAATGATGGTAAATATTGAATTCTTTATTTTGTACACAATACCAGGATGTATTATTCTGTTCAAATAGAATATTATATAAATTTTAAAGTGATGCAAATTTACACTGAAATGTTCCATCATATAAAAATATTATTATCTGCCATGTAGTGTCATCAATACAACATGATAACAATGAACACAAGCTAATAACTCTAACCTTAAAATAAAAAAATAAATACAAGATTTGCAAGTGTCTTTGTTGTGTTAAAAATTCTTTCTTCGTCTTCCCGACTTTTTTCTCCATATATATATGGTGGTCGAATTTAAAAATATCCCTCAGATGTCCCTCGTCTTTACCGGTAATTTCTCAATTAAACGAGTGTCGAAGTTATCGCGTAATTTTTACAAGGAAGAATGCACAATAATATTCTGTGAATAATCTCTAGTGAACGGTAATGGTAACGCATCGATCATTCGCTCGATAGACAAAGAATTGCGAAAAACGACATACGTTGCCGAGATACCGATTTGCCTCGGACCTGACGGCTGACATCGCAGGAAAGCCGTGTTCTGACGCCGATTGGCGGGTCATGGACCATACCACCAATCAGCGGCGATCTGCGAGTGTGAACGTCAACAGAGTAAACCGGGCTTAAAGTCATCAGGAATTTCTCGTCCAGGCATGACACTTTACTGGCCGTTACGTATCATCGTCGAAGAATGTAATGAAAACGTGTAGGGCTATTCGAGGAATTACGGGCTTGCTATTACCTCCTTCGCTGATAACAAGATGCTCGATGTGACACATTCTCACGGATCACCGAAGATCTCGCATACTTGGACATGCTTCCGCGGGCTTGAAATTTTCACTGTTAACGCACTGCCGTCTGTTCACAATTCCCGATTTTCTACTCTCTAAACAGGACACTCGATATATATTTCCACGTTCCCAAGCGCCGTTGTTGTAACGTACTATCGAAACGAACGATATGTGCAACCGTGGCTCTCCCGCAGTCGACACACACTGTCCCTCTGTTTTCTCGCACCTAGAGAACACACGTACATACAATACGGGCGGATTGACACTTCAGTAAACAAGAGACACTGTCACCAGTACTTCCGCGCCGACTTTGTCTTTGCCGGTCCACTACGAAATCACACCAATATCCGCGGTTAATCGTATTCCTGATTTGATAATACCGATGACACGGATGATGGGCCCTTGCCCAGTTTATCGTCCTTCGTCTCCTCTCGGGATCCTGCGTCCCGATACGTCCACCATTTCGATTTTTCCAATCACGTGGTATGAAAGCCTGGCTCTCATTGGCTCACTCTGCGTGACCACGTGACTTCACGCTACAGCACTGACTTCCATTGAGAGGAAGATAGCATCCGGAGCTATCTGTTGAGAGCTTTGAGAAACATTTTGCATACGATGAAAGATGTACGTTTTTTATGTTGTTTCGCAAAAACAGTCTGTCGTTACAGGGTTAAGTCACAGACGAGATATAGAATAGACCTAACATGCAATGTAATTTTCTGTCACATGTTTTGAGGACTCCAAAGCCGCCATACCATTTCAGTGTCAATTCCCGACGGTACCGATAAAGCATGAATTCTGAGTATTATTAGCACAAATGGAGCATTATATATTCCATTCATAATACGTATATCCAATATGATTTGGTGGGAATAAAAATATCCGATGCTTCCGTTTAAAAGATGAATATTGTAATAATGATGAAATATGATAACTTATTCTAAATTTCATCATTAATGAACATTTTAGTAATGTTACGTTTCCCATGTTCCCTTTTTATTCGTTTATATATTTTTTTTATCTGACAACGTGATATAAGAATCCTAATACGCACAATCAATTACCTTCTGGTAATTGGTGAGTAATTAATTAAACAATGAACTTCGACCCAACTAGAGCTTAGCTAGTCAAGTTTTCTTCATGAAAAAAAGTTTTGATCTATTATTTAACTGGTAATATCTATTGTATTGTATTTCATAAACTTTGGCATCATTGTCCAATTGACAGGATATATTTATCATAGATGGCGTTAGAGAACCATTGGAGGATTGAAAACTTCGAGAAGAGGAGAGTAAAATTAATACTTTCGATCTATTAGGAAGTGGAATATCACAGTTTCGGGGATAGTGTGTATACTCTTTGTTTCCCTTTCATGGTAGTCAATCCCTCCTGAATTAATCTCGGGTGTATATAAGAAAATATATTGAAATATAATTCGGCGGTAAATATTCTATTTTGTTCAAATAGAAAGTTGAGCAAGCAGGAAAGCGACCAATCCTCACGTTCTTCACCAACCGACGCACCAATCACAGGCCTTATACATAACAGAATCAACCAATGACTGCCAGTTAGCCAGCGTAACGGTCATTCGTCTCAGGGAGGCTGGACTGATTAGACGTGTAGTGATCTCGCTCGTGGCGAAGTAAGTATTATTACTTTTCACTTTAAATTATTTATGCTATTAGTATCTACATTACCACTCTATCGTTACATTTGTTTAGTATCTATTCAATTCAATGCAAATAATCGTAAATTAACTCGGTATTGCTGGATAAAGTGAACTGGTTTCACGATTTCTGTTCTCTCCCGGTACCAATTAGTATTTACGCAGTTTTTGTTTAATTTGCAATCTTTAGCGATACTCTTTGAGTCAATAATTGTTTCGTTGTGACTCAGTCATTGTTAATTTAGTATAATTACTTGGTATTAACGTTTATTTTCTGTTCCAGAATTCCGGCTAGAAAGAACGCGCCAACGATGCCAATCCCATTAGACGCAATTTGGCGGAAAATTGGTGACTTCTGGTGATGTATTACAACAAAATAGTTAATATTCCACTAGATATTTTTATTTTAGTACACTTTTACTGTTTTGACCGTAAACTTGATCGCGATTTTCTGATTAACAGTGCTGAAAGCAAACAAGAATTTTTTCGAAACATATTTCGCGTTGAAACGCAATTGAAGCATTCAATATGGCTTCTTGTTTGACCATTAGAAAATTTAAACGGGAATGTTCCAGAAGTTTCAATTCGAAATACTCATAGTTTACTGGATCTCGGTCGCGAAATTGTCTAAATTTTAATAATTTTTGAGTTTATCATTACGATGTCATCGTATTTGTATTTATATAAGCATTGCAACGATTTTCTCAATATTTATAAAATTCGGTACGCGATGTAGACAGAAATAACGAACATTCTTAAACTCTAACGACGAATGTCTTCAATATAATATATTAATAACAAATATATATCAGCAATTAATATAATATATTGAAACAATGGAGAATTATTTTGCAATATTTTTTAACTATGGTACCTTTGCGTAGTTACATTCATATTTGAATATTTATCGTCGAATGACAGTATTTTCATGATAAAAACACTTGGTAAAGTATAAAAATAAAAGGGCTAAGCCGGTGCACGTGCGCCGTATTGTATTTCTTTCCCCCCTTTTTTTTCCACAGTATTTGGTGGCCGCGTGCAAGGCGGTCGAGTCGAGTCAGTGTTTGTTTACATCGAAGTTTTTTCTGTTTATGCGGAGCGAACTGGCGCCGATTAGGATCTCACCGGAGATGTATTATGGTCTTCGCGGAACTAGAGTCAGTGTTTGTTGCGTACAATCTCAAATTATTTTCAGAGTTTCGGGACACTCTTTGCTTTGTGTGTCGCGAAAGTAGAATCATTTGTTCGCCGGTTGACATTTTCGGTCGCGATAGTTTTTTCTTTTCACTTTTTTTCTACTTGAAAGTACTCGTTCGCGAAAGTAGAGTCAGTGCATCACTGAAGTGGACTTTTGGGCGAAGCTCTACAAATAGAGATTGTAAGTATCCTTATATTTTATTACTTACACTGTTGAACTGAAACAGCTAGAGTTTTGAGAAGAGGTTATTATGTGTTCTGTTCCTTTGTTTCAGATTTATCAGATGCTGCATAAACAAACACTGCAGAGGATGTCCTTGGGCGAAGCTGCACCATTTTTCAAGATTCGTCGAGAGAGAATATTAAAGGGAGCTCTTCAGTCATCGGGTGAGTGAATGTTTTTATTCCTCCAGTCCCCAATCATGTCGTAGGACGATTGGTCCGAAACGGCACGGGCGACTGGTTGTATACGTGCTTTTGGCGA